GAGGGAGCCAGGGTGCCATTAGGGAAGGCCTGGTCATTGCTGGGGTTGCGGTCCATGTTACCACAGAGCCCGCACACTGCGCCATGATAGCTGCTGGGCAGCGTCACATCTACCCGCCAATTCCAGTCATAGCTGACTTGCAGTCCAAAGTCAGCCACCAGCAGTGCCTTGGATGCACCGTGGGTCACTGAAATCCGCCCGTTGGCCTCGGAGACAGGCAACGCTGTCAGCACACCGTTCACCTTGGGGAAGGAGGAAGAAGTCAAACGGGTCACTGGAGGTGTTACGGCCCCAGCTCTGGCCCTCTGCCTCCCTCTCTCTCACCCTACCGGGGGCTGGGAAACGCCAAGGCCTTTCTCCGATAGTTGGATTGTCATCGGACACAGTGTGGACATTTGTTCTGGCCCAGGTCTTGGGGAATGAAATCTCACTTTACTTTTTCTAGATATTCTCCGTTGATCTCTATCTCCCTCCCTTGTCTCTGTCTCTCTGTCTCTCTGTATCTCTCTCCCTCTGTCTTCACCTAAGTCTATATCACTTGGTCTTCTCTCTCTCTGTCTGTCTCTCCCTCCTCTTCCCTTCCTCCCTCCCTCCCTCATTCTGTGTGTCTCTTCCACTCACTCACCATCATTTATTTACCACCTACTCTGTTGCATCCCTCTCTCTGTCTGTGAGCTACCATTAAGCTCTGTCTCCATTTCCCTGGGCAGAAAGGACAGCCCATCTCTCTCCTGTGATCTCACTATATATACATATATTTTGTGTGTGGGGGGGGGGTGGGGGTATGGATACTCGCTCTGTCATCCAGGCTGAAGTACAGTGTCAAAATCTTGGCTCTTGCAACCTCCGCCTCCCAGGTTCAAATGATTCTCCTGCCTCGGCCTCCAGAGTAGCTGGGATTACAGTAGCGCCACTACACCCAGCTAATTTTTGTATTTTTAGTAGAGATGAGGGTTTCACCATATTGGCCAGGCTGGTCTTGAACTACTGACCTCAGGTGATCCACCTACCTCGGACTCCCAGAGTACCGGGATTACAGGTGTGAGCCCCTGTGCCCATCCCAATCTCCCTATATTTCTCTCCATGTCCTGGTCTCCGGGCATCTCACTTGTTCCCTCACAGACACTCAAACGAGTGTTCACCTGGACTAGACTCTGAGCTCAGCATGTGACATGCACCACCTTGCTGTGGGACAGGCCCTGATATGATGCCCATTTCACAGATGAGGAAACTGAGGCCTACCAAGTGAACTGCCCAGCATCACCTAGCTCATAAGGAGGAGAGCCTGGATTCAAACCCAGGTCTGTAAAAAAGGCAAATGCCGAGGTCCTAGGTTAAAGCCCTTAGCAAGGGGCTAGGCTTGTCTAATTCCCAGGAACGGGGTGATATTTTTGTTGGAATTATTCTTTTTGTTGACATTTTGTTTCAGGCCCAGGTGAAGACAAGGAGCCTTGAGCTGCTAACTGTGGTCGTCAGGATACCTCCTGCCCTCCCGGGGACCTCAGGGGACCATCCTGCCACACATACCCGGACTTTGCCGAACTCGCCCTTGTGGATGGAGATGTTGGTGCCCAGGGCAGACACAGTGACGACTCTCACGTAGGACACAGCAGGGTTGCCCCGGTTCTCGTTCTTGGTGGTGACGGTGAAGGGCGTCAGGCCCTGGGTGTTGACCCCCGGGCAGCCAGTTGTTGCCAGCACATAGTTACAGGTGCCCTGGAAGTCAAACGCCCGGCCGTCGAAGGAGTGGTAGTGTGGGTCGCCCCACAGCCAGCACGTGGCCTCATAGTTGGGCACGCACACGCCCTGGCCACCCTGCTCCTTGCACGTCTCCTGTGGCCGGCATGTCACACCGTCACACGGGTCTGGGGACAGAAGAGGGAGGACCTTGAGAGGCTGCCCATTGTAAAGGATGGCCGCTGCCTCCACATCTACCCCAGTCTGTGCCAGGGATCTGAGGGTTACCGCAGGCAAGACCAGATTCCAGAGTCCTCATGTCCAGGACCCAGGTGCTATAGTTTGCTTTTGTATTTGGTTTTGTTTTGTTGGTTTTTT